GACCTCGGCGCCCATGCCGGGGCCAGACCCATGTGGTTGACCTGCAGCAGCGACAGCAGGCGCGAGACGGAGCCGTCGTGGGCGACGTTGTGCCTGTAGATCGGGGCGTTGGCGGCGCCGTCACCGGCGGCGGCGGCGCGCAGGTGGCCCGCCAGCTCGGCGGCCCAGACGCCGTAGGTCGCGGCGCTGGCGGCGAGCGAGTCGGGGCTGTCGCGGTAGATCTGGGAGTACTCCCAGTGGCCGATGCGGAAGACGGTATCGGCCTGGGTCTGGCTGATGCAGGCCGACGTGTCGTTGCGGCCGTTGACGAGCTTGCAGGGCAGGGGCTTGTCGTGGCACTGGCGGGCCGAGAGGTTGTCGTAGTAGGGGTCGAAGGAGTTGTGGAAACCGGCGTTGGAGGCGGGCACGCCAGAGATGGTGTCGAGGGCCGAGTAGAGCGGGGCCGCGGCGCGGAGGTGGTTCGCCCAGGCCGGGTTGCTGCCGGATTTGATGCGGCTGAAGAGGGACGAGCCGGCAGGGCAGCTGTACTGGGGTTCAAGGGAGTCGACGCCCGACGCCTGGATGTTGAGGCCCTGCGGCGATGTCGTGTCATACATGCCCTTGATCAGAAGGCCGGCAACTTGGCTCGTGATCTGGTTGTTGGTCACGCGGTACTGGACCTTCTCGTGCCACGAGGGGTCGTTGCGACTGGGCAGGAACCCCAGAAGATCGTGATAAACGCCGAAGAGATCGACGCCGTGGACATACGAGTCGTCGAGGCCCTGAGCCGTGATCTGGGGGAATTGGCAGGTTCCGATCCAGCCGGCAGGGACGAAAGGGTTGACGGGCGAGATGTACACTTTCCAGTATGTCTTGGCTGCGGAGTTGCTGCCGTCCAGACGCTCTCCAAAGTAGAAGAGGCCCTGCTCATCGCAGTTCCACTGGTAGGACTCGACGGGGAAGGCGTTGGAGGAGTACGGCGTGCGTTTGTGGTGACGGTGGATCTGGCACAGAATTAGTCGTTTTGTCAGGTAGAGAATTCCCAGGACTTGGCTCACCAGCTCAACATATTTCAGTTCAAAGTCATCCGACGGCCTGACATATTCCGTCTTGCGCACGTGGGGCATGTTACACCAGTTGTACGTGCCGTACTTGTCGATTGGCGTCTCAGAGGTATCATAGATGAACCCCCACTTGCCCTCACCGTTGAGCACCTCGGTGAAGTTGGCATTGACCTGGGACTTGGCTGGTGCATGCCAGCTCACATCCATGGACTGTGCTGACACGGTTGAGCCGACAACTGCGAGGGCGCCCAGGATGGGGCCAGTCTTGGACCAGAGAGCCATGATGTGTTGCGTGGTGTAGGTGCCGATGAGGAAAATGCCAAGGCAGAGTAGGGTGAGCCTGGTCAGTGAAGAGAGGCTTGCTGATTTCATGCTCCCAGCGGCCAGTGATGAAGACATGACAACGGCTTTTTATGCTCGACGGCCACTCTACACACCCCTCCTCATCAAGATCCCAAAGTGCTGGCGACAAGGTCACCACGTGCGTCGGCGGTGCTCCGCTGGCGGGGTCAAAGGTTGCATCTGCAATTTCGGAACACGGCGAACAAGTGGCACTATGGGACACGTTTCGAGGCCCGTCTGTAGGGACTATTGATGATATTGAAGGATAGCCTGGCGGAGAGTTCGGTCGTCATTCCCACGATGATGCCCAAGTGCAGTCGTGGTTGGCGGCGTGGGCTCGCACGTGGGAAGGCGCGCTCGACGACTGGCTGTTCCTGGAACGGTACGTACCTGGCCGATTGACCAATGGCATGTGTTCCTGGTATGCGAGGAGGGAAGCACTGCCAGATTCCATCGAATAGGCACTTACCTCAGTCAAGGTAAGGTTCTCGTAGACCTCATGTATTCTCCCGTGCTATCTCTATCTGGATTTCCCTTTCATCCGAGTCATAGCAGGCCAGCAACGATCCTCCATCTCCATCATCTTGCCCCACCTATGTCTGTCTATCCGGGTTGAGACCACCCGAATCATCATCGCCTCTCTGTCGCCATGCTCAGTAAGATGAAATCGACTGCGAAAGTGCTTCTTCACAGCGCAGAACGCACACTTCATCTGGTTTTTTCTTTCTTTTCCTTATAGAAAAAAAAAGCCATCAATGTCCTCGTCGATGGCCACGTCCCAGGTCAATGCCAGGAAACTGGGGGATTCCGAGGATGCCTGGGGCCGGACACCGGTTGTACCAGTATGCATCAATGAAGTACCACGCAACCCATCTACCAGACTGCTCATCCCAACCATACCGCCACTCCCCTAGACGCGGCGGGGTCGGGATCCTCGGCACGACAGGTTGCTGTAGGGTCGGTGGGTCCTCGAGAGTCGGCGAGGGCGGGGCCGTGTACGGCGGCAGAGCCGCGTCCCGTTGATTGTGGGCGTGCTAAGCCTCGCCAGTTCGGGGGTCGACGTTTGGGGCACGGCGTTTCTTGTTGACCATCTCATCGACATCGTCGAGGTCGCGGAGCGTGGGCTGCCAGAGGTTGGTGGCGATGATGATGTCCTCAGCCATCTTTCTCTTCCCACCGTGGTTCTTGTTCTTGTTCTTGTGTCTGTCTTTTTTGTCGTCCCAGGTAGTGGTGCTAGCAGCTGTCATGTGCCGGGAGCTTATTCTGCGCCGAGAGTCTGGTATTAGATGATTTCTGCTGAATCCTGCAATCCTTGCGAGCGAGGACCACCAGGGGGCTTGTTGATACCGGACAAAAGCAAATAATGATGAAAGTTCGTCGTGGTGTAGCCAGAGCCTCCTGGGGGGGCGATGTGAGCGACGTGACTGATCGATAGTGTGAGAGATGGTAGAAAGAACATGAACTCGAGGTCAGAGGCATGGACGTGCCAGATCATTCCTTATGGAAATAAAAGAAAGCTTTGGTCGTCATGGCGAATATGCTCTGACCCCATTGCGGTCAAGCAACGGGATAAAGAACGCGGTCGAGACAATGCTAGACCTGACGAGCCATAAAGCTCAACACAATTCTATGTTCCTTCATGGACAGAGGGTTACCAATGCGTATGTGTCAGAGGTGGCCGATCCTTTCTTGAGTCTGGACAAAGGGCCATGACATGGGGCAAGCAAGTGGCCAGTGTATGTCTTGTCGTGAGTTGACATCCGGGCTCCTCCCACATTAGAGTACTGTATCTTTCGTTCATCGTCTTCAACGCAGGTGCGTTTCGATACACATGTTGTGTAGTACTTCACAGAAAAGCCCACGCATTCAACACGAGTCCTTTTGGTCAAGGTCGTGAAGCTATCGGATTTTGAGTAGCCCCCCC